CAAGTGTGACGATGCAAGTGTGAACTAATTGTCACTCGAATGACGACGAACTCGTGAACTAATCGTCACTCGAATGACGACGCAAGTGCGAATCGTTTGTTACTCGAATGACAACGCAAGCGTGAATCGTTCGTCACTCGAATGACGATGCAAGCGTGAATCGTTTGTCACTCGAATGACGATGCAAGCATGAATCGTTCATCACTCGAATGACGACGCAAGCATGAATTGTTCGTCACTCTCATAAGTAGGTAACAGTCTAATGTAAATAGGCAGCAATATATATATTGCTGCCTACTTATAACACTAGACAGAAATCTTAAAACCCATATAGCATATCGACTGCCATTAATAAAATTAAGCAGATTGACATTTTAAAAGAAATTAATCTTTTAAATTTCACTACTTATGTCTTGATAAACTTTTGAGGCTATCCTGATGAATAATTATTCAAAAAAAAGCTTAAATTTTAAGCTTTCTTTTGAATATTAATTCATCAAGATAGCCTCAAAATTTATCGAAATACAAGTTATGAAAGTTAAGGGATTTAGACTGACTGTGATAAAGGCACAGAAGAGCTATTAATCACGAGGATCATCTGACTTCATAATCATGAAAGGCATAAAACCTAGTAACGTCTAAATGAAGTCATAAAGTGAATGTTTTTTTTTTTTTATTGCATGATTATGAGATCATTGATCTTGTGAGTCTAATGATGAGTATAAGTAAACCACAAAATCAAAGAGGGAAGTTGTGCTTTTCTTTTGCTGCTTTAGTAGTTGCCCGAAACCCTATTTTCTGGCTAATCGAAAGGTTCTTTCTTTCCACCCCTCCTCAACTAAAACTAAGTAATCGATCAAACAAGCTGTAATACACTGATGCTATTTAACGCTGCAGAAGCACAAAATCATGTTTTGGGACTGAATTTAGACGACTAAGTCAGTTAGAAGCTCTAGGGACTAAATAGCTGTATATCCCCTACACCATTTTGAGATTGGCAGCTGTTTTCCTGGTGTCATTATATTGAAAATCCTTTTTTTAATTAATAATGTATTTAACTGAATTGGGTGTAGAATAGAAATTAAAGTGGAAGGATAAGTTAGATAAATATATAAATAGGAAGACAGAAAGGTTCAACAGAAAGCATAAACAAGTAGGAAGTTAAATACACAGTTAACAGAATAATCTCGATAATCTTATGGTTAAACTCATCTTAATATCCAACTATTATTAAAACCCAAAACCCCAATAAACTACTCATCCCACATAACCTATGTAGTGCCCAAAGCTAAATCATGCTGCTCATCTATCGCTAGGCATTACAACTGACAGCCTATTATACTTTACTGAAGGCTTCTTTATTAAGAAGTCAATTTATCAATAGCACAATGTCCCAACAAAAGGTTTTTCGATATTTTTTCTTTGCTAAAATCCTCTTTTGATCAAACTTGTAAATTATTGCACACTGTGATTGTCCGACCCTGCAAAAATTTTAATCACATCTTATTATTAGTATTATTATTATATGTATATATTTTTGAATACTTAGCTTAGTTATTTAGGAGGTTCCTTTCCTTTGGATCAAATCTATAAGTCAGTTTATCCACTTTAACCACCTTAGCCACCTTAGTAGATATAGAGAATTTATCCGCTTTAGCGAATAAATTCAAGAGAAATTTGTATATTGTAAACTCTGTAGAAAATAGTGATGTGCCATTTATATGATACCTGAAAAATTTTAGCATACAGTACGTATAGTACATACTGTATATACTGTATGTATAGTTCTTTTCTGGCATCTGATTGGCTAGAACAAGTGCTCGGCAAAAATTTTAGTGTACAGTACGTACAGTACAGTACGTATAGTACTGTACGTGGCACATCACTAGTAGAAAAGTATAAAAGCAGAGCCGCTCTTGCTCTGAAATAAAACAGAACTAAGTTGAGTTTAATATTTTAAAAAAACATATTAGAAGTAGCAACTCCAAGTAGTTTTTTACTTATATTAATATTCGTTCAATTATTATTTCTTCGTTAAAATCGTGATAAATTGTATACACAAGTTGAGTCTTGACCTTCGAAATTCGACAAAATTGATAGTAGAGTTTCATATTCTCTTGTTCTTGTGATTTCTTCATAATCATATTTTCAATCTTTCGTGAAAGTAAGAAAGAGAGAGAGAGAATACTAATGAGTAGTCAAACTCCTTTTATATAAAACAATACGTGATTAAACTATTGATCAATGTCATTGTTACCCCTAATTAAAAATCTATTGCTTCATTAATCCCATGATTCACGTGATAATTGTTAAGAATTTTAACGATCGAATTGAAAACTAAAACCCTGGTAATACTCAAGTTGAAAGAGAAGAATTACTTTTAGCTTCTAACTAAAGCCCAGAAATAACTAACAAAAGTAGGAGCAAAGGTTATACTTAACTTAGCCTCCAGCAAAGCTGCAACAAGACCCGAAAAACCTTGAGACTCGGATCAAGTCTCTCCACACCTCTTTCTGCCTAACAATTCAAGGTTTTGGAGTCTGTTGAATTGTAGTTTGGTTGATTAGTGTATCCATTTAGCTAGTTTAGCATTCATCCAAGTAGTCACTACTTTTTTAACACCTATACAATCACCTGATTGTTGCCCAATTTGCAATTCCATATCTGCCGATTCTTAATAATGAACAAATGTCTTATGTTTATTGATCAAAGATACATCATTTTGCAAATTACAATAATTTGATGAAAAGCTGCTCAATACGTAAGTATCGAGGCAGCTTTTCTCTCAAATAATTGCGAGACCAAACATGTAACATGTCTGAATATGTTCAGTCTAAGTGATCGATCAGCGATATTATATAAGTATGTACATATGAAATAAGATCTAATAATTAGTTAAGTAGTATCACTGGTAAAGAATAAAAAATTTGATGTGTCGAATAGCACTATTCGAATACCATTCGACATACCATTCAATGTGCTATTTAACTTATCACATGACTTTGCAGACATTCATGTCTGCGAAGTCATGTGATAGGTTGAATGGTGGCATGTCGAATGGCATTTGAATAGTGCCATTCGACATATCAAATTTTTTATTTTTGCTAGTGTTTGAAGTAATTAATTAGCCACGGACTGTTGAACAAAATATATGCCTGTTGTTAGTCAATATCCGATATCAATTAATAATCCTAATCAGAAAATTGTTAGTCAATATCCGATTTAATAATCCTATTCAAAACTTTACTGATTAAAATCAAATGCCACTTAATAATCTTACTTAAAACTTTACTAGCCAAATTCAAATGTCACTTAATAATTCTATATAAAATTTTACTAGTCAAAATTAAATGTCATCTAATAATTCTACTCAAACTTTACCAGTCAGAATGTAGAGACTAATAGATTTTGGGCTAAACTATCAATCTATCTATCTATATAAATACCAATTAATAGAACCAATTGTCCCAAAACTCCTGGAAGGCAGAAAAGAGGCATGGAAAGACTTAGTCCGGGATTCAAGGCTTATGAGTCTTGCTACAACCGATTAGAGACCAAGATAAGTATTCTACTAATATAGGTTATGTCAAATGTTTCCTTTTGATACTAAAAGTAATACTAAATCTTGTAACTAGTGCAATAGGGTTTTCAGTATTCGATTTCAATCGTTAAGATTCTTAGCAATTGTCATGTGGGTACGAAATATTGATCAACGTAATAGTAGAACAATAGTAAGAATGATGAAATTGATTTAAAGTTTATTTGATTTTTAAGATCTTTGATTACTAATCGATAATTTCTCTCTTTACTTTTATGATTCCAAAAATAGCGATTTTTCAAGGTATTACAGGAACAAGAAAAGATGAAAATGGCTTTTGTTATTATGTATAATAGAGGTTAGACCTGTTGAGAAAATCCCTACCTGGAAATTATTAAATTACCTGTATAAGCTAGTAATGTGCCATGTATAGTACAGTACACAAAAAAATTTTAGAATATTCTAGCCAACTTATAAAACTATTCATATCTCAAAAGTTTTCTTTTGTATTGCAAAATTTTGCATATAGGTAATTTATATATTATACGTGTACTATATACTAAAAAAATCTAGATATTATATAAATGGCATATTACTAGTTCTAATGAATGTCAAATTTTATTAAGATCTTATGAAATCTTATATCAATATAGTTAAGCTATATTTAATCGTGTACCTGATATCTATTTAAGAATTAGAATTCAATACTACCACCTATTCTGTATCAAAGTTATTTAACAATTTAAATTAGAATTCTATTCATCCGTTCTTCAACTGCATTACACAGATACTTATTTAATTTCACTATTCATATGTATGTACGTATGTATTAATTCAGTGCATGAGTATTAAAACAATTGATTATCTAACAGTTATTAATATAATTAATAATAGAAATTATTATTAATTTGATAAAATTATTACATTAATATGATGATAAATTAATTAAATTTTTGATCATGAATTTTTGATAAAATTGTTATCGTTATCAATATTTGGATTTATTATAGTTATTTCATATATTATGACAAATTCAAATTAATGAATTCGATTCTGTGCCCATATATTACTATTTAATAACAAATTTAAATTATTTGAATTTATCATATAACTACGTTTATATATATGATAAATTCAAATTATTCTGATTAAAAAACCCTAATATAAAATGAATATAATCAAAAAGTGTATATATAAGTGAAAGTTAAACAATGTATAATCGAGTTTAATACTTTTAAAAAATATTTATTACCTTGTAATTTCTAAATTTCTTAAATATTTACTTTTGAACTTTTGACTTTTCGCTTTATTTCCAATGGAACGTATAACTTGTGAAATCATTTCTTCAATCCGTGACAAATCTATGATTAATGTTCATGGCTATATCATAGCAAAGGATAAAAATCGAGGAGACCTCTATTATTGGTGTTGTGAGAAGCGTGATACCTTTAAATGTGGCGGGCATGCTAATACCATTTTAATTGAAGGAAACTATATTCTTAGAACAACAAGAGAGCATAATCATGCTGCTGAGGCGAGTAGAGCTGGCGTTCGGAAATTAAATAACTAAATAAAAGAACTGGCAGAACAAACCTTTAGTCCACTATCACAGATTATTCAATCAGTTATTGCAAATAACCCCTCAGACATTTACCCATATGTTTTATCTTTTGATTCACTCTGTCAAAAAGTGCGACGAATTCGATGTTTAGGTCTTCCTTCTGGATCCAACTCGCTAGATAACCTTACCATTCCTGATAACCTAAAAACTACTTTAGATAGCACACCTTTCTTGGTTAAAGATTCTACCATTGGTGATCAAAGAATTCTACTTTTTACTATGGTTTCAAACATTCAGTATTTAAGTCAATCCTTAATTTGGTTAATAGATAGAACTTTTGATGTACTACCCGTTTTTTAACAATTATATACTATTCATGAGTTTGTCGAAGAAGATGATAATTCTAGAGTTTTACCTCTTGTATATGCTTTGATGTCTAATAAGTTAGAAATATGCTATAAAAGATTATTTCAAGACTTAGTAAATTTTAGTAAAGACTATAATATTCGTTTAGAGCCAGAATTCGCTTTAACGGATTTTGAGCTCGTGGCTACAAATGCATTCCAAGCAGGTATTTATTATGTTATATCTTTTAATATACAATAATTAGTTTAATATAGGGTTACTAAATGATTTACTTACATATTGGCTAATATACTTTATATGTATATTATATTTATATTAGAGTTTATTACTACTTGAAGCAAGGGGTGTTTCTTTCATTTGTCTCAGAACGTATATAAAAAAATTTGAGATGCTCATCTAACTACTCGATATAGGACCGATGAACAGTTTAGTATAAGGATTCGCCAAATTCCTGCACTTGCTTTCCTTCTTTCAAATGAAATTCCTGGTGCCTTCAATGAGTTAAAAGGCCATATTCCAGTGGAAGCGAATTCAATTGTTAAATGGTTTGAAGAGACCTATATTTGCCGCCAAGTAAGACGAGTATCCAGAAATAGAGATATATCTTGGAGAGAACTATTATTTCCGCCTTCTTTCTGGTCAGTTTACGAAAATAATGAATATGATTTTTTTAGAACAAATAATTCTGTCGAGGCCTGGTATAGAAGGTAGAAAACTCTAATTGAATCGAGTAATTTGGATATCTTTAGATTTATAAAAGAGATTTAAAAAGAACAAAATCGAGTTCAACTCGATATTACAGCTATTTTGCAAGGGGTACCAAGACCTACTCAAGGAAGACTGAATAATGCGCATGAATTACGAATTAGAACAGTCTTAGATGATCGCGGTAGTAGACTATTAATGACCTTTTTGAAGAGAATTGCTCACAATCTTTCATTATAAATATATTACATATTTAATTTTATTATTTCTCATTGTAATTTAATTTAATATATACTGTATTTATTTATTTATATGAATACTGTAATTTATATTTATTATCATCAGTTATATCATATTTATGTATTGTCAAATATACATATATACATTGTTCTTGTGAAAATTTTTAATATACATATTTATTATTTAATATTTCTATTATTAGTACATATGTACGTATTATTACTTCTGTAAATCAGTACTATAGTTTTATATAAATAATTATCATTATTTCTTATTACTTCCCTTTATTATATTAATTGGTAATCCACCAGTCAACCAAAGAATGATTATAGTAAAATGTGACTCAAATTACTTATAAAAATTAGGGGTCTCCAAATGTGTGTGCGCGCATCTAAAACTTTTATTTATATTAAGTTAATCACTTTTCTAACTTAAGAGACTTTTGTAAAGCTTG